GAGAGAGAGAGAGAGAGAGAGAGAGAGGCTGGCACACAGTCGCAGTATGCACACTATGTACTCGGCATGCCAACTCAGCCTCGGCACTGCATTGCAGCGCTGAACATTTGGCCAAGTCATGCCACACACACCGACACACACACACAGATCTGTGCAGGTGTGTGTTACTCTGTGTGTGTGTGTGTGTGTGTGTGTGTGTGTGAGCACGTTTCCCTGTTTGATTGTCACCCTTGCAGCATGTTGTCTCTGCAGAGACGAGCTATGATGCATGCTGTCTGTCAGCCTCTGCAGGGCAGTTAGCCGCATTAGCTCCCTGCCTGTCCTCAGATGACTCCTCCTCCACCTCCTCCTCGGCTGTCTGCTGTATCCCTGCCTCCCCTCCCACCCCACCCCTGCCTCCACTCCTGTGACACACCAGACGATGCATTGACTGAACAGAGGAGAAAAAGAAAACCTCTCCCAGCCAGCCGTCCTGCCTGCTGCATGGAGAAGCAAAGGAGGACGAGGAGCAGAAGGAGGTGAGGGACTCCCTGTCTGTCTGCATGACTGCCTTTATTCTCTAACTGTATCTCCTCAGTCTGTCTTTCTCTGAAACTGTAGGTCTATCTGTTTCTGTCCACCCGTCTGTCTGTTTACACTGTTGTCTCTCTGCCACCCGTCTTCCTGTCTGTCTACTTTAGTTGTACTGTGAACAAGAGCATCAGAACCAAACTAGAACATGTCAGTAATGTAGGGGACCTGAACTCTGTTGGACAGTGGTGGACATTAGATGTATGAAGTTCACTTCACTGGACCCAGTTGGATGGTTCTGTCCCGTAAATGAAGGCTGTTCAGCAAAACAGGAGCATCTCCTGAATATTTATAGGATATTTGTGTTGTGTGATACTGGTACCACAGTGTTCTCAGTGGTCTGTTGGTGGGACTCTAATGGTGTTCTTAAAAAGTTGTTGTTTAGTCCAGATGTTGCATTCTGTAAGAAACTTAAATAGACCTTTCATAAATTCTTCCAAATCTTCATTTGACAAATCTGTTTGTTTTTGTTTACATGAATGATCTCTGTAATGATGGCAGTTCAGTCAAGGTGCATAAGAATACTGAAAACATTATCACGTCAAGTAACATAGGATTATCAAATAAACTTTTTTTCTATAGAACAAATAAATTATTTATAAATACAGTCAGATGTTGGGGAACCAGGTCATTCTGATATGAAGTGGTCTCCTGGAACAAGACGTTTTTGAACGAGGGCAGAGAACTCAGCGCTGTTGGAATGATACAATTTGAGTAATCCCAGTATAAGGGAGTATGGGAAAATGTAGGAACTATGGAAACTTTGAAACCCAACATACAGATTGACTCTCAAACAACTTTGAACACAGTGTTCTAACATCTGCAAGAGGAGTCTACAATCATACCTAGAGACTGATGAGGTACAACAAAATTTCAATGGCAAAGAGGAGCCCAGAAGACAGACCAGCAAGGAAATACCATAATTCCCAACATCAGAATATGAGTACCAAGCTCCACTGAAAAGCCCTGTTGAGATGAATAGCTGAGACTAAAGATCATTACACAGATAGACATCTACTGTATAACCTGCATCGTTAACAAGGCTAAGGGGCTACGTATCCACTGAAGGTCTACGAGAAGATGTCACTTCAGCACTACTAGGTATCTCTACTGGTGCCAAAACCAATAAGATGGTATACACCTCAGCGACAGTGATTCTTGAAATGCTTTGTCAAAGATCAAGGCTACAGCTTGGAAGAAATGTTTTCTCCCATGAAAAAGGAGGATAGAAGCTAAGATCAAGGAAACGGAGAAAAATCAGCAAACTTTATGAAAAACATAAGTGTGTAATGAAGAGAGATCTAACTGATCCTCTGTAGAATGCCGAACAATGCCTCGCAGATCTGGCTACTTGCCTGAATTAGTACACTCAAAAAGTGAAAACCAGGAAACTAAACAGGGTATTCTCCAGAGTCAGAGTCAGTCAGAGTCAGAGAGGTTTATTTGTCATACACACCTCATGTGGTACATGTGGTGGAACAAGATTATGTACACAGGGTCCCAGTTACATCCAACAATAAAAAGTAAAAGAAAAACAGTGATAATATCTAAGATATGAAATAAGAAAAACATCAGCTAAATATACACTAAGCACTGATAACATAAAAACAATACGTGGAACAGTAGCACAAACATGTCTGTGTGAGCAGATGAGCACAAATGAACACAGCAACATGAAACAGATCAGCAGCAACATGAAACAGATCAGCAGCAACATGATGTGATTTTTCACAGTGATTATCTTGGTTAGAGATTCATGAGTCTAACAGCCTCAGGGTAGAAGCTGTTCCTCAGTCTAGTGGTTCTACACTTAATGCTCCTCAACCTCCTTCCTGAGGGGAGTGGGGCACCACATCATCCAGAGTGTACTCTCAAAGGCAGAGGAATAACAAGAGGGTATGTCCACCCAGACCTGCAACTGAGCAATACTGGAGAAGCATATGGCATCACGCAACAGCAATGCCTCATGGATGGATGACCTAAGAGCTAACCAAGAACAACCAGAACAAGAACCAGTACAGTATGGAGTATACATTACCAAGGCATATAAAGAAACTGACAGGAATACCAAAAGAGCCAAGCACAAGCTACAGGTTGACAGAACCATTGCTCAAGACAACCTGGATTGACTACAAGAAAGCCCAAGACTCAATGTCACACAAACAAATCCTGAAATGGAATTGGAACTGTACAAAATCATCAGGACACAAAAATACTTAATAAAAACAATGGGAATATAGAAGACAACTCTAGAGGCCAATAGCACGTCAGCATCAAATGTGGCATATGCAAGGTGATGTTCTGTCCCCACTCCTGTGGGGCAGAGCATAAAGAGTGGCTATGAATACTAGTTCCAAAGTAGAGCGGTTATTAGATAACTCTGTTACATGGATGGCATCCAGCTGTATGCCATAAGCATAAGCCATGAAACAAGCAAGACATTGACTCACTGATCCACCTCACCTGGATGCACAGCAAGAACATTGGAATGTCATTCAAACTGGGTAAACGCAGCCGAATGGTCTGCAAGAGTGGAAAGATGATCACAACTGAATGGGTTGAATTACCTGAAGGTAACATTGGAGAGGTCCAGGAGAGCTACAAATACTGTGGAATCCCACTGACACAAATACTATGGAATCCCACAGGCACATGGGAATCATGATGAGACCACAAGACAGTTAGCCATAGTCATCTACAAGGGCTACAACTTGCCAGCATCTTTTTTGTTAGGTTCACTGCCACCCCATATTTGAAGCTATGCAGGCTAACCTCTTCCATGGATATTCACATTTCAAATAAGTCTGCAGAGTATTTTACAGCTGAATGTAATTCTATAAAAAAAAATTTAAAGCAAAATTACATTTGAGTAAGCATACACACATCACAAATTGAACTAATTTAAACCATTGGTTATCAAAGTTGGGGTTTGGGTCCCCGCTGTGAGCTGATGTAACAAGTCTCCACAACTCTTGAAGATTATTTGCTGAAAAGTTTAGGAACAATTGATTTAGATAAGATAGAGGCATCAACAGAGTACTCGAGTAATCTACACATCGATTGCTAGGACCTCTATCGAGGTTAAAAATGTAACGTCGAGTATCCGTAGTGACGTCATATTATGTGACCACCGTATGACCATAGGGGGCGGTGTTGCACTGTTGCAGGTCACAGAGTATGGTGTAACACCGGGTCCAAGTTTCGTTTTTGACGTGCTGCGTTTCTTCACATTTGCAGTTTAATAATAATAACTAAAAGTTTAGTTTTTCCTGTGACTTATTTGCAGTATGATAAATGGTAGGAGCATAGTATACGCTCCCAATGTTTTGTTGGTCTTTTTTTTGTAAATAATTACCTTTTATTGCGGTTTTATTTATTTATTTATTTTTGTATCTTGAGATCTATGACGTCATCAAATACCGAGTTCTAATTGGGTTTTATTATGTTAATGTCGAGTTAAAAAATGATATACTCGTTCAACCCCTAAGAGGCATACTTTAAAATTTTATTTAAATTTAAACGGAAGTGGTGGCACAGAGGTTAGAGAAGGTGAGCCTGTGATCAGAAGATCGCTGGTTCAATTCCCGGTACCAACAACATCAAAATGTGGGTGGGATTGGTGAAGCACCCATAACTGGCTCCACCTCATTTGCCGCACTCTGGGCCCTTGAACAAGGCCCTTAACCCCCACCATCTGCTCCTCCGGGCACCCTAGATGCAGCTCTCTGCTCCACTCAGAGGCACTCAGGTAGCTCGGTGGTCTGTGGTTGGGTCAGGAAGGACATCCGGTGTAAAAATAATTGCCAAGTCTTCATGTGACTCAGTTCACTGTGGCGACCCCTGAAGAAGGGAGCAGATGAAAGAAGAAGAAGAAAAAAGGCATAATTTAAACAAAGTTTGATTAAGACTTTTGTTGAACAGAATATTGAGCAGCTATCAGTCTTGAGCCTTTTCACTTCCAATATGATATGGGACTTGGTAAGGCTCTTTCTATCATGCACAAAGACCCTGAAAACCCCAGTCAGTCGGGCAGACGGCTACCCATCCTGAACCTGGTTCTGCTCGAGGTTTCTTCCTGTTCAAAGGGAGTCACTTCTTTCCACTGTTGCCCTTGTGGTGCTCAGGATGGGAGATTGTGACAAAGTGAAGACTCAACAAAAACTTCTGGCTTTCTTAAATCAATATTTACTAATTGATGTTTCATAATGTATATGAATGTTTTAGTACATGTTATAAGATATATAATGTTTTAGTACATATTATAAGATATATAATGTTTTAGTACAAACCGGATTGCAAAAAAGTTGGGACACTAAACAAATTGTGAGTAAAAACTGAATGCAATGATGTGGAGATGGCAAATGTCAATATTTAATTCGTAATATAACATAGATGACAGAGCAAAAGTTTAATCTGAGTAAATGTAACATTTTAAAGGAAAAATATGTTGATTCAAAATTTCACAGTGTCAACAAATCCCAAAAAAGTTGGGACAAGTAGCAATAAGTGGCTGGAAAAAGGAAATTGAGCATATAACGAAGAGCTGGAAGACCAATTAACACTAATTAGGTCAATTGACAACATGATTGGGTATAAAAAGAGCTTCTCAGAGTGTCAGTGTCTCTCAGAAGCCAAGATGGTAAGAGGATCACCAATTCCACCATTGTTGCACAGAAAGATAGTGCAGCAATACCAGAATGGTGTTACCCAGCGTAAAATAGCAAAGACTTTGAAGTTATCATCATCAACCGTGCATAACATCATCAAAAGATTCAGAGAATCTGGAACAATCGCTGTGCGTAAGGGTCAAGGCCGTAAAACTACTGGATGCTCGTGATCTCCGGGCCCTTAAACGTCACTGCACCTCAAACAGGAATGCCACTGTCAAGGAAATAACAGAATGGGCTCAGGAATACTTCCAGAAAGCATTGTCAGTGAACACAATCCACCGTGCCATCCGCCGTTGCCAGCTGAAACTCTACAGTGCAAAGAGGAAGCCATTTCTAAGCAAGCTCCACAAGCTCAGACGTTTGCACTGGGCCAGGGGTCATTTAAAATGGAGTGTGGCAAAATGGAAGACTGTTCTGTGGTCAGATGAGTCACGATTTGAAGTCCTTTATGGAACACTGGGACGCCATGTCATCCGGACCAGAGAGGACAAGGATAGCCCAAGTTGTTATCAACGCTCCGTTCAGAAGCCTGCATCACTGATGGTATGGGGTTGCATGAGCGCTTGTGGCATGGGCAGCTTGCATGTCTGGAAAGGCACCATTAATGCAGAGAACTATGTTCAGGTTCTAGAACAACATATGCTCCCATCTAGACGTCATCTCTTTCAGGGAAGACCCTGCATTTTTCAACACCATAATGCCAGACCACATTCTGCAGCAATCACAACATCATGGCTACGTAGGAGAAGGATCCGGGTACTGAAATGGCCAGCCTGCAGTCCAGATCTTTCACCTATAGAGAACATTTGGTGCATCATAAAGAGGAAGGTGCCACAAAGAAGGCCCAAGACGATTGAACAGTTAGAGGCCTGTATTAGACATGAATGGGAGAGCATTCCTATTTCTAAACTGGAGAAACTGGTCTCCTCTGTCCCCAGACGTCTGTTGAGTGTTGTAAGAAGAAGGGGGGATGCCACACAGTGGGAAAAATGGACTTGTCCCAACTTTTTTGGGATTTGTTGACGCCATGAAATTTGGAAACAACAGATTTTTCCCTTAAAATGAAACATTCTCTCAGTTTAAACTTTTGATCTGTGATTTGTGTTCTATTCTGAATAAAATATTAGATGTTGGCACCTCCACATCATTGCATTCAGTTTTTATTCACAATTTGTTTAGTGTCACAACTTTTTTGGAATCGGGTTTGTACATGTTATAAGTTATATAATGTTTTAGTACATGTTATAATATATAATGTTCTAGTTCTTGTTATAAGTTATATAATATTT